GGGGGGGGAGGGTTTCGGTATTTGGCCCACGGACTACTGATATATCTCACAGACAGGTGTAATAAGTGATTCAGTGAACAATAACAAGAATAAAACACGTGGAATAAAACAAAATTGAAAGTATGTTTGATACACTAAATTGCATGTAAGCAAGACGATCTTCATCAGTTAAGCAAACTTAATAATATATATATATATATATATATATATATATATATATATATATCGGAGAATAAAGTCAATACACCATGAATTTTTTTAATAAAATGGAGAGAAAAGACTTAAAATGAAACTTTGGGGGAATTACAAATAAAATGAAAATGTACAGAGATAAGGTTACAGCAATTATAATAAAAATAAAAATAATAAAAAATAATAATAATAAAACATAGATAATATAGCACGGTAATTTTAAATATAGAAATGTAAGTTGTTATTACACGTGCAGGTCCTCTATTTCGTAATCAACGCTAGGTGATCAACTCTTGATGCCGAGTCAACTGCTAACAGCACTGATCGTACGCTAGCATCACACTACAAGTATTGTGTAAATGACTATGATATAGATATCAATCATGCATGAGTTTGTTTTCTACTATATTAAGAAAACTGTAATTTTTATAGTAATTATTTTTAACCATAGGCATCACAAAGTGGAAGATGTAGCAGAGTTTCTTTTCCTAAAAGCAAGGTTAAGGAATTTGGTCAAATCTATTATCACGATCTCGTTTGGGTTGTACAATATGACGGAGAATTTATCTTTGTTGTTCACATGTGTGAAGCATGTGTGGCCACTTTGTACTAAAGTAAATCCACAATAGATATATACACAGTTACGTTTTGTATAATATTTACACATGTAAATGTTTTTTAGATGTTTAATAACTAGGAAGTGATATCACTAGGTATGAATGCATAAAGAAAGATATCAACTTACCCTGTCCACACAGCAGGGATCAGCTCCGTGCTGAATGAGTAGAGCTGCTACATTGTTGTGACCGCCCACAGCAGCATAATGAAGTGGTGTGCGACCATACTGAAGAGTCACAACGTTTTTAGTCAACAAAACGCTTCAGAGAAAGGATTCAAATAAGCAATAAGCAAACAGTTATGCAATTAATAAAATAAAATGTTAAGTATATAATTAGGTAACTAACAGCAGTTCAGCAGAGTGGTGTCACATTTCACAGTGCATCCTTTTAGTCTATTGAATATATACATCACACTTTGATGCAGTTAACAATTTCCCAGTTATAAAATTTATCATGATTTAATCATAATGAAACCACAAAAAATATTTCAAACAAAATACATTACATTTATGATATACCCCTAGGAATTAAAAGTGTCACCCCTATCGCAGGGGTATCCAAGGGTACCCAAAGTTTAAATTTCAACATTACATAACAGCTATGCGACCAACCAATGAAACAGTAGGCCAGTTATACGCGAACCAGATCCAGCCCCCCCCCCTCTATGGCCAGCTCAAACCATAGATCATAACCTCATAAAGAATGTGTAGGATATCCATGGAAATGGATAGCTGTCGGATAACCCTGCATGCAAAAGTGATCTCATACTTATGCACCGTGTGTGAAACGCCATCACTGCGCAAACATTTAACAACTCTTTGACTCCACGTGCAGACGCGAGAGGTGCGTCCTATATATAAAAGATAATGAACATTATACTAAATGTGGCTTTGATTTTTAACCATGGTTATTTATTTCATTAATTTTTTGGTGAAAAAATCCATTTAGAAGTTGAATAACGAACATTGGTTCATGGCACGATGTTCTGTATCCCATTACTTATTGCGTTAGGGTGACACTTTTTTGCTATAAAATCATAAAAATGTTAGAGGATCCGCATGCAATGTAAACAAATGATGATTTTAAAATGTTCATTTACTGAATACCGATCTCTTAAGGAATGACTACATGATGAAAATAAAGATCTTGCTTTGGAGCCACATTTCAAGTAGCATACAAAAACCTACCCAAGCCTTACTGCATGGATCAGCCCCGTGGCGCATAAGCAGATGTACTACATCGATGTAACCACCCTCAGCAGCGTAATGAAGAGGTGTTCGATCATCCTGAAGATACACAATGTTTTCAGTAACCAATATATGTTACACATAGTTGTCCCAAATGTTTAATGGGTAATTAAAAACAGTAATTAATAGGGAATAGACCTACATTATAAATTTACTAGACCACCAACAGTAGTTCAGTAAAGATGTGATACATTTTACAGTTCATCATTTTATTCTGTTGAATATAAACATCACATAGTGTGTGAATCAGTATGTCGATGAAATGATGCAGTTAACAGTTCCCCAGTTTTGTTATGTTTCGTGATCTCATATTTCAAACAATATACATAAAACCCATAATAGATACATACGAGATATATTGATAAATCTTTTTGGTTTAACCAAGAATTGATCCCATTAGTTACGATCATATAATGACAATATAGAGGTAATGACGATGAGGTATACTTTTTTTAAATTATAAAAGTAGCATACACAAACTTACCTCATCCTTAATGCATGGATCAGCCCCGTGGTGCATAAGTTGAGCTGCTTGATGGGTGTGACCAACTTCAGCAGCGTAATGAAGAGGTGTACGATCCTTCTAAAGATACATAATATTTGTGTACCGTGTATATCTTACAGGCAGATATATTAAATTATTCAAAAAGACGATGTGATAACCATGCACTAAAACCAAATTAATATTTTCGACCACCAACAGCAGTGCAGCAAAGAGGTGGCACATCTATTGCAGGTTATATAAACTAGACCATATCGCCTGGTTATCGATGAAGTGAAAGCACTAAAAATTCCCCACTTTATTTTTCAGAAACTCGCCATATGAAAATCGCGATTAGGAATATTTAAAATAATATATTTGTAAAATCCAGAATAGCTATATACACGTACATAGGATACATGAACAGTATAATGTTTACCAATGGAAAGCATTTTTAAAATGTTCAGTTACTATATACTGGTTTCATTAGATGAGACTCTGAAATGAAAGATAAAGATTATGGGGAGGAGCTATATTTCAAGTAACATACATTACACAAATCTACCCAAGCTTTACTGTTTGGATTAGCTACGTGCTGAAGCAATAGAATTGCTGCATCGATGTAACCACCCTCAGTGGCGTAATGAAGTGTATGGTGTATGACCAAACTGAAGATAAACCATGTTTTCAGTAACCACTGTATCTTACAAGCAGATGCACCAAATAGTTCACATAGACATTAGAGAGTTTTGGCAAGGCCTTACGTATGACGTGTAACGTATAGTTCAACACGTAATACGTTTTACGTACGCGAGAAAGCTAGCAGTGGTTTTGGCAGGTCTCACTCCGTATGCGGTTTTTTCCGATAAGGGTATAGGCCTATATATATGGATTATACGAACATGGGGCTGCTTGTGGATTCTTTTTAGATAGATGAATAATTTAGATGTTGAATGGAATGTGTAATTTACGTCAATTGATGCCGCAGATCCTGTTGTTTATGAAAAAAAAAATCAATTTAAATTGAATTTGATACTACTACGGACGACTGATTGACTGGCTGTTTTTCCAGCTGTTTTCACAGAGTATTTCTACCGACAGCGTCTAAAAGTGATTCAGTGGAATCTTAACACCCTGTATATTCCTCTGCAGTATGTTAAACTTGAAAGAAATAAGCGTAAATCTATTAAATTCGATACGTTTCTTACCTACGTGTAATCACCGATTCATACGTAGTGCCGTATGACTTATGACTTGTCCTTGAGAAAAACTACGCACAAAGTGATGACGTCGCACGTTATACGTCGTACGGAAGGCCTAGCCAAAACTCTCTATTGTCGAAAATACGTATAACAAAACTAAATTAATATATCCGACAACTAATAAGTATGGGTATATCTCAGTTAGTGTTGGGGTATTTCACACTTTAATTTGAAACCATTTCACCAGTAAGCATTTGGATGCGGTACTTTTTTGAAATAGCGTAACTCCCAAACCGTACCGGAAACAAAACAAAGAAGGGATACCGCTTCCAGTTTAGTGCTTGTCAAGCTCTAAAAACGCAACAAATAAAAAATGTCAAGCTTTTTCATCTACACTCAGACCACACTCAGACCAGATAGAGGGTGCAGCACTAGTTTTCTTTCTTTAATACTCCACAATTATGTAAGTTTTATTTCAATTTGTGTTTATCATATAAGGATAATTGTTTTACCTATAAGGAATTTTTAAAGGTATTTTTGCATTTTGTAAAGTATTTTGTACTTTTTTGTTTCAGTGACCAGCTATACAGCGAAGTGCAACTATTAAAAAAAAATGCATTCAACATAATCTTAAAACTATCTCGATACACTTACATAGTACCTTCTCCACAATTACTTCGGTCTGGGAGATGTTTAGCATTTAACTTTCAAAAAAATTGACAAAGGTGCATTGTGACGAGCGGGGTTCAAAGTGGGATTATATATAAGCTTATTCAAAGACAGTGGGGACACAGGCCCTTGTAGTCTAAGAGGACAAGCGGTAACGGTGACAGGACACGGAGGCGACGGAAGCCGTAGTAGTACGAGACAGGTCGGGACTTAAACCATGATCGAGTACCTTCAGCGCTCACGCTGGTGGTTCTAATAATAATAAGCAGACAAATAAATCATTAAATAATCCCTAAATATCTATAGGTAAATAATCGGAAAATATTTAAAATCATTATATATATTAGGAAATTAACTGTGTGATAACATACAATTACTTGTATAATAAAGAAAAACAAAACAATCGCCTAAACCTACCTCTATGCACATGTCTGGGTCAACCACGTTTTTCTTCATGTAAGATGCCGTCAAATAGAATTCCAAGTCACCTAAAATTCCATACCTTAAATTAGATTTTTTAAATATATGTAAATATGATCCTAAGTCCGATGAAAGACAGTGCTTTGTTAAATCAGTGCTTCTAAGGGAATGTTACATCCAGATAATTTTGTTATACAGCATTATTTTACAGGGTAAAACAAAAAATAGGTGTGTAAAGATGTCCTACCAACGGCGGGTCACTTCTGGCGATAACTGAACTTTAGAGGTCAGCTGATATTGAAGATAATTATAATTTACGTTGTTTGTCTAATCCTTGCATTCTAGATAATATTTTTATTAAGATTTAATGAGATTTTTCATAATTATGTGAAGTACTTTTGGGACCCCAAATGCTATCCTGCTGTGTTTGACTTGGCAAGATGACGTCGAGGGGAATCCACAGCATTTTTATGTCATTAATGTTAGTGTGTTGCACATCTGCACTTTTACTAGGACATTTCAAAAGGGTATTTATAATGTAAGATTAAAAGCAAGTCCTTTTTATATCTGCTAAATTACCTAGTTATATTTTCATTATACTGGAGGATCAATTACACATACATTTTATCATGGATGATCACTACTTCTCTACTTGAAAATAAATTAAAAACAAGCTTCTTCTACTCGCAGATCATTGTTTGACTCAACATTGCATTTGGATTCAGTGGTTTATACGCTAAAAGTTGCTCATGTTTAAATGTATCAGTGACCGAAAGAAATATCGACATCAGGTATTTACATGTAAATTTGTGTAGTTTATCACTTTTATCACTGCTAAATTGTAGTTAGCATAATAATATCACACACACACACACACACACACACACACACACACACACACACACTTGACATTCAATATAGAATAATTCAGTTTCAAATGTATGCCTAGGTAAAATGCGTTTTTTTTTTCAAAAAATTCCGAACTCATATAAGATAAGTGCGTATCCATGTGTGTCGCTACCAATTAACTGGCTACCTTGTTTGTTGCACTGCTGCGTTGTGNCAAAAAATTCCGAACTCATATAAGATAAGTGCGTATCCATGTGTGTCGCTACCAATTAACTGGCTACCTTGTTTGTTGCACTGCTGCGTTGTGTAATATGCAGTTATTAAAGCAAGTAGTGCTCCTTTGGGCTGGTCAAAGCTAGGCTTTGGCGAAGCATGGCTCTGTCAAAAAAGTATCCATATGTCGGCAAGTACAGCATAGAAGTATCTGGAATTTTGCATGCAAGTGGTCGGTGCACTGTGTAAAATAAGGTAAGCAGTATTTTACAAAATTGTTAATCTGTGGCAGAGTGGTGCAAAATAACAGACATTGCCAGACAGACTATTCCGCCAAACATAACGGTCCGCACAATTTTATAGAGTAATGCCCAGATTGATGTAACAGGACTCACTGCCCTTCCGAATCTGTTGCTGCAACGAAACAAAGATCACTTAATCCATTCAGAATGAGGGGGGGAAATTCCCACCAAAACGCGTTTTCAAGGCCCTTAGCCAACACCAAACTGGTTTTAGCAGGTTAGAATACCGACAGACCTCCGAGGAACCTTCTGTAAACAGCAAAACATCGTCCGTCATCTGTTTTTCTAATGAATTGGGGACCATGGACATTTCTGGTCTTTCTTTATTGAGGTCAGATTTCACTTGTAGCACTCGGCCAGTCACAACAGAGTTTACAGACATCCAGAAGAGGCCTACAACGACGCGTGTGCCGCATCTAAAGTGACTAGGGTTATTGACAGCATCAGTTTTTGGAGTGGATACCGCATCGGTGCCAAAACACCAATGCTAGCCATCGATATAAACCTCAACCAGGTCGAATAAAGGAATAATCTGGGAACCACTCGACAATCATTTGATAGGGGGCACCTTAGGAACAATTTTAGGCTGCACGATGTAATTGCCAGTTGTCACAGAGAGCTTTTAATAGCAGATATAACTTACAGAACCAAGGGAATGAGCAGCTACCGTGTACCTTGGTCTTTAAAATTGCCACATTTGAACCACATTGACGATATCCCAGATAGCAAGCATACGTTGGGCCAACGTCGGGGAATCGTTGGTGTGTTGGCACATAGTTGGCGTTGGTAGTAATACGTTGGCCCAACGTTGGCCCAACCACATCATAATATGCACAACATAACTGCAATATGCTCACGTTTGCCCAACGTTGGGCCCACGCGTGCCTATTTATTGC